GCAACTGGATCAGGGCCTTGGGAATACCAGCGGACTTAAGGATGCAAGTAATAGTATCTGTACTGGGCAAGACAGGGTGGGGGTTTGTAAGGGGGAGTCAGGGACTCCCTCAGACGTCTCTGAGAGGGGGATTAAAAGAGAAAGATAGTGGCGTCAGGGAGGAGTTGGACTTCTTATTTAGTTTTCAGAGCTTTGTACAGAACATAGAATGACTGAAATGCTAACAAGCTAACACTTCCTCCAGAATATGTACCATCTGAAAAACCCCTTTGTCTCTGTCACAAGCTTGAAAAGGTCGCCATAAACAGTTTAGGATTTTACATGAAAGCATTACTTCCTGTTTCATGTTCATATAGCGCGATGTAGAGTGATACACCCGAGAAGCATGATCTCCAAATTAGACATATACATTCAAGTATATTTCAATAGCCTACTAGCAGTCCCTGTAAACCTCATCACATTTAAGATTAACTGCTGAAACAGATCTCCCCTTATCTGATGTGTGTGTGTGTGTGTGTGTGTGTGTGTGTGTGTGTGTGTGTAAATGAGAGCTCTGTCAACGACCACTCATACTTGGCCCCTCCATAAACACTTTAAACCAGTTGGGGAGGAGTCCTACAGCTGTCTCAGCCTGTGCGTGCTCAAGTGTGTACACACGAGTGTGTGTTCGCACAGGTCAAAGGTCACTGACCTGCTTTTCAACACTTTTCACTGTTTTATTTCCTGCAAAAATATCCATGAGAAGTTAAATTAATCTCTGCTTGTGGGGGTGAATTTTGAGACAGCTTCATGCAATTGCTGAAATGATTAATTTGCCCTGCTTAGCCCCTCCCTTAGCTGAGCTAGGGTTACAGGACATGATGAGGTAAGTGTTTACAAGTTTTTACTCAAGCTCAAGCTCAAATGGCACATTTAAAGGTACACTATGAAGTTTTGGTGGTGAAATTTTTAAAGTTGGAGAAGTGAAACAATTCTATGCTATATTTTCTGACTTGAATACACAAACTTTACTCAAAGAAAAATTGGGTCCTTGGAACTCTGTTTGGAGCTTAAAAGCTACCAGGAGAGTTACGGTTTCACTGCAGCGGACCCCCACCATAACTTCTTGCATAGCAGTTTATCTTCAAACAGTGTTCCAGGGACCAAATTTTCCTCTGAGGACAGTTTGTGTACAGGGTTATGAACATATAGAACAGAATCTGTACACTTTTCCTACTTTTTCCAACCAAATTTCTCTATAAAAAATACATAGTGCACCTTTAAATGGCTCAAGTGCAGAAACAGAAAGTGGCCTACTTAAAGTGACAAACACTGGCTCTAGTGTCGACTAATATGAATGTAAAAAATTAAAAGATGAACTTATTTTGCTATTTGCATGATGTATAAATTAAGAATAAAATGCATGCATAAGGAAATTATTTTAAATTAATTTCAATGACATTGTTGAACATTGCGCATACCAGGTGTGTGTGTGTCTGCTGTTGTATGAAAATCTTATTTTACCCCTACTGTGGTTAACTGCTGCACTATACTGCTCCCTAGTGGTTGACTGCTACAACAACTCTCACATAAGTACCCCATTTAAAATTTCCTTTAATATGTATATACCTGCGTTCCCATTAGTAGAGGCGCTGATTTTAAATCATTGCAAGCGTATATTTTGAATTCATCATAGTTTTACTTTTTAAGCACAGCCTAAACCTAATTAAACATGTAAATACAGTATGAAAAACAACTAACTATAGAACGTATATGTGCTATAACAAATAACCTTGTTGTACCTTTCATTTGTTACAACAACTTAAAAGGGGATCATTCAAACAAGGCCTTTAAGTGTTCACAACATATTTGCGCAGGCTAATCAACCTTCTTTTCTTTGATAATTCCAGGTAAACAAAGTCTGTGATTTTCTCTTAATGTGCAGGAAAAAGCACTCCCTTGATGAAGAAAATGTGTTAGTTAGTGGTTCTGTTTTGGACAGTCTTAAATCTCAGGAAAAACTCTTAAGAACTTTTTTAACAGTTAAAATGCCTTATTTATATGTTCATAGATCTTTAAAAAACTCCAAAGAATTACATCATCAAGAGAGCTCATGACGATCACATGACAAAAAGGCATTTTAGTTTTTATTCTAAAAAACTCATTTTTACATTGAGACATGCTTCTCAGTGATACCAAATGACACTCATTTGTATCTCAGTGCTCTAAGTGTTGTCTTTCAGCAGGATCATTACCTGCCAGGTCAGACACACTTTATGTAAATATGAAATGTATTTCTCCATCTGTCACTAAATGGATTCAGTATATGATGAATGATGAAGCAATTAAGGACTCAGTCATCCTTATACCAGCAGGAGCTGAATAAATATAGATTTACACTGCTAACAAGTCCTCCCTCTCCTTCTTGTCACACACACACACACACACACACACACACACACACACACACACACACACACACACACACACACACACACACACACACACACACACACACACACACACACACACACACACACACACACACACACACGTATAGACACACCACATATAGATGTTTTCAGTGGTTCCTCTTTTTTTAAATATTCTTTGTGGTTATCCACTTCAAGTCCATTTTACATACACCACATATAGAAGATGCAGTGCTGGTAAAGGCGAGCTGTGTTCCCAGGTCTGGACTTGGGAAGAGCAGGTGTACTGCTGTCAACAGAGGCTCATAAATACTCGACCAGTGAAGGGAGATGGATTACACGTTTATGTCATCATATTTAAGACTCTCTGTCAGCAAACACTTTATTGACCCTTTAATATCATGCTCAAGAAGATGTTTTTTGTCCTTACTTAATGGAGTTTACGACAAATATATTTTGCTAACCTGCAACCAAAGTGAATTAGTTTAATATTAGATGCTTAAATTATGTCAGGATATATATTTTTTTTTAAATTAAGGGGAAAGCAACGCTTCTGGGCTTTGCTGTCACCCTTTTCACAGAAGAAGTAACAGTTTTATTGCCGTTGAAAACATCATAAACAAATATGTACATAACAGTGACATATTTACCACTGTGCATGTCCTCATGTCAGTGTCACATGTCACTCTGCAGACATGAGATACTGCTGTGTCCAAATAAAGGCTTCAACTACCGTCCTGACCAGAGGTTTCATTACCCCTGTTATCACCCATAATCCTTTGCAGTGTCTGTAAAGACTCCTCCTGCTCAGGCCTGGATCACTGTGTATTCTGCATGCTTAGAATAAGCCTGAATCCTCTCCAATTACACCTCCTCCCACGGATTGTTCGGTGTCACCTCGCCATCTGCAGGCATGATAGGGTGATTCTGCGCCTGCAGTGTAAAAGGACACTTCTACAGTTCTTTTGGCATTTAGTGTGAACGCTACAACTCAATTTAAACTGAAGGACATAGCCGGACAACACAAGATGATAAAAAAAAGTGCTAACCCCTAGTTTGGGCTTGTTCTTAGCCTCTTAGGCACGACAGAAACATACTTAAGTAAACTACAGCAGATAATAGATTAAACTATAAAGCTTGTTAAGTGTCTACCCGATCAGACTGAAGGCCTGAAACCAAAGATGCATCATTCATTCATCTGACGATGCAGAAGCCGTCGAGATATCAGATTATGAACAACCCAGACATTGAGAGCACCCATCAATCACTGCTCCAATGTGAAAATAGAAAGTGGAACAGAGCGGAACAAGCTCACATTTTGCCCCTCCGAGAAGACTTTCAGATCCACAACTGTATCACATCCTCATGTGTACTGCTAAGTGCAGTGAAAAAAGAGTTGATGATACTTAAACACTGTAATGTAAGCAGTCAGAGAGGACTGGTTGACCTCAAAGAGGTCCGTAGGTTCATGATGCCTCACCACCATCATCATCATCATCCTCACTTTGAAGGAAACAACCATCTGTCCATCTCTGTGTCTCATTTCTCTTCTTTGTTGTTTTGATATCTTTCTTTTTTTCTTTTTGGGACCAGAGGTGGACTGAATGGTGTGATTGTTGCCTCCTGGGAACAACATCCTGATGCTGTCTGGGTGTGTGAAGCAGAACTCCAGCATCAGTGATTTTGTTGCCAGGGGGACAACTAAACCAGCCGGGACTTCCTCAAGTAAGAGTTTCAAATGCAGCTTAAGTGGCAGCTACAATAAAGTGTTTTTTGTGTGTATAACAGGTGAGGTATTTATCTGTTATTTCATGAATTCATATTAATTTGTCATTTTAATCTCATAGTTACATTGATAAATAATCCATAAATAGATTGTAATATGCCTTGGTGGAAGCTTTGCTGCGGTTCTCTTTTCTGCCTGCTATTCTGGCGTCAACCTCTAGAGGGGGCTAGTTTTCAACATCACTGTAACTGTATCTGACTAACTAGAGACAGAGGGGCTTTCTTAATTTAGCACACAAACACAATATACACACTTAGAATAAAAAGACACAGAACATTTTCTTGAAAATGTCCACATATACGCATTTTTCCATTTTCCATTTCTTGCTCAAGAATTTAGCAAATTGAGTAGTCCCATTTATTTATTTAAAAATGAAAATTTAAGAAATTGAAAAACCATGTTTCAATGTTTATTATTTTAATTACCAAGTATAGTTTCATTAATCGGACTATGTAGAGTTTATTTTCAGTTTTTTCAATTTTTCTAACATTTAAAAAAAACACACAAACAGAAATGTATCCACACTTGCGTGTATGAATTGCAATGTAAAAAAAGCCTTCTGCATATAAAGGCAAATCTTGATAAGATAAATGAATGTATTCTTCAAGGTATGAGAGATTAACCTGACTGTTAAAAGATAACAGAAACATTTTCTACTTCTAAAAGTCAGTAAGTATCATAACACACACACACACACACACACACACACACACACACACACTCAAAATATATGTTTGTGTGTCTGCTGCTCTTTTTTTAATTCTTTTTTTTTTCCACACTGGAATTTACATGAAGTGTGACGCTGCATGAGTTAATTATAAAGAATAATAATGTATGTTAGTTTTGTTCTATGTCACTTTGACATCTACTGTGCTGTTAATCATTCAGTCAGCTGTTTTACAGAACAGATAAGTTATTGATCCCCCATCCTGCACTCTGCTGCTGCAGAGGCGGGCAGCGCCTAGGGAGTCTCCTGTAAATGTGAGCTCTTTGTCCTCTCTCTGTCCTCACATCCTCCCTCATCTCCTCCTCTTCATCATCTTCCTTCACTCTCCTTTAATCCTCACTTAACTCCTCTTATCTATTCCCTTTTTCCCCCTACCCTCCCTTATTTTTCACTCTCCATACCACCTCTAGTCTATACTCCCCTCTCTCTCTCATGCGGTGCATTCCCATCTCTCCTCTTTCTGTCCATATGTTCTGCTCGTCTCCTCCAGCGTCCTCTATGAGGTTTCTGTGCTGCAGAAAAAAGCCAGAGGGATGAGCGGGGCTCACAGAATGCAAGGTAAGACGGGAAAAAATACTGGTGTCATGCATGCACGTGGATGCAGAGAGATTAAGGTCGTTGTGACATATTCTGCAGCGTCATGATGCAGCAGAATTGTAATGAAATACATTTCAGTTGAATAGCATGTTTCTTTACTTCTGTTTGCAGAGTTTAAATACTGCAGAGAGGGAGCGACTTTGGTGATTTCCTTGGAGGGTTTAAACTGGCTTTCTAAAAGGAGATGCAAGGACAAAAGACACAAAAAAAGGTATTTTTCAGGATTTTTGACTCGGCCTACAGGCACACTTAAAGAGTGCAGGCCTCTGTTTTGTACAAGAGGTACTAAAGTTGTCTTTTGTTAATTCTACTTTCTGAGTAGAGAAGTTATTATCATCTGTGTTTTTCTCCGAGCCCTCCACCTGTTACACAGTAAAGAGTACATTTACCTGAAACAGGGCAGATTACAGGCTTCATGGCCTACTGCATGCCTGTGTGTGTGTGTGTGTGTGTCTTGGTGTGTAAAGTGTGCATGTTTTGACATCCTTTACGTCACAGCTGCTGTGAGTCAGCTCCTCTCTTCCTTTCCTGAGTCACTCATGCAGCCGTTGCTTGGTGACTGCAGAGTGCTGAAAGTTTCCGATTGCGTCTTTGTCTCCGTGGATGGACTGGCCCCGATATTTATTCAGGCTCAGGAGTGAGTGGCCAAATAATGTATGTGTTTGTGAGCATGTGTGTGTGTGAGTGTGTAAGTGTGTGAGTGTGTGTGTGTGTGTGTGTTTTCGGTTTCAGCCAGTAGACTGAAGACTGACGAATCAGTTTTAGTACATCCTGTCAACACTGACATGATGTTTGTGCCCTTCATATACCTCTTAATAGTTGTTTAATGGATTTTAATAAAAGGCAAATCTGACACTGACATGGATAATATTTATGTGTAACAGGAGATTCTTCTAAGACAAAGTCTAGACATCATGTTTGGTCAAAGTGTCCGAAACAAATGCTTGTTGAATTGTGCTAGACAATGCCAGAGCTCATGTCAAAACTGACAAATTACAGAATAAGACTTCAAATACATTAGTGGTATATGCCACCAACACTTTCACCACTGGTATTCCACTCAACTGATAAACCCAAAGAAGCCTTGTGTCCGATAATATTAACCAAACCTGCAGGTGTCATTTAAAAATCATGCATTGTATCACTGACTGTAAGATAAACTCTTCTAAGTTGTAACTGTCACTTTCAGTTCCCTAATTAAAAGTCTTAAACAAGCTAGCTTGGCAGATTTAGCTGAATAGAACTATATTATGGAGATATCACTGATTCAAAACTATTTGTGAATGCGTAAATAGATCCACAAATGTTCACCTATTTGTAAATGCGTATAGTTTTTAATGACTGAGAAGACTGCGGCTGTGTCCGCAATAACACTCATTACTCAGTGCATTAATGTTGTATATGTATATGTGTATGTAGTGGGTTAGGGTTGTATATGTATCTGTGTATGCATTTCAGAATCTATTAACACATTTATTATCTTTTGGTACAATAAGCTCCATAAAAAAACCTGTTCAAATTTGAACAAGTGAGCTCCATTCTGCCACTGTCACCATGTACACCTGCACTTATCTCGCTGTGAATTGTTATCAAAGGAACAATGGCCAGTGCAAAAAAAAAAAGACCTGAGGTTTAATTATCATTATCAGATCAGAATGCATGCTTCTTATTTTATTGAATACTATAATGGATTTAAAAGGTTTTAATATTCCTTACTTGTGTTGTTTAAAACACAGGGACGAGAAGCTCCAGTTGTTGATGCCATCTGATGAAGAGCTGCAGCCAATCACCTGCTTCTGTGTCTTCAATAAGAGACGATGTACAGGCCCTCGTATACAGAGAAAATACAGTGACCCCCAATCAAGCTTTTTAACATGGCCTCCTGTCTCATACCCCCCTCGACATGGTTATCTTCCCATGGAGCCGACCCCTCGCTCAACATGCAACTCTTTGGCTTCTTTTGTCTCAGACTGTCCCATGGAGGCCCGATGGACAAGACCCATTGTAGATATGATGGACATCATCAGGTTGATCACAAAGGGTCTAAACATTATGCACCAGCAGGATGCTGCAACAATGTTTAATAGGTTCATCATTTTCTGTAATGAAGATATACCCCTTGAACTTTATAGTGACATTTGTATCGGTGGGGATTGTAAGACATCGTTAAAGGACACAGGATGGCATTTAAGTGATAACAACGCGTCAAGTGATTTCACAAAGTCCACTGCCAACCAGCTTCACAATCTCAACGCCAACACCAACAACTCTCTGGGGATTTATAAAGATCTTCAGAAATCCTCTTCAATCTGTGATTCTCTAGGAGATTTGTTGAGGAAGGACAAGAAAGCAACAAAGAGGAAGAGTGTGTCCTTTGAGGACGATGTAACGGTCTACTTGTTTGATCAGGTACTGTTTCCATGTTGTCTGTTTATCTACAGTAAGGCATGTGGGTTTTGTTTTGCACTGGAGATTTAGGGGTTAACTACTTACTGATCTAATGCCATTCTTAGGAGAGCCCCACCTTGGAGCTGCACGCTGGGCCCTACGTATCTCGGCCAAGCCACAACTCCAACCTGCCAGAGGCCACAATAGAAGACACTGGTACTATATTGATGGACTAAATTAATGATTTGTGCATGTTTAACACATGAGCAACGTTACTGTTGAACATTTTTGCATTGTTGGAAAGAAAAAAGGTAATTGTACATTATAAGTTGTTAAGTAGAATTTTTTTAATAGTCACTAACAAGTTGGTCTATGTCTTCAAACCATAGACTGTATAATAAGATGGACGGCACAATAGCCGACGTCACTTATTACGTGAAATATTTAGTGGCATTAAAGGTTATGAACTTTGTTTCCTCTGTGTTAACAGATAGGACATGGGTAAAACTATTAAATCAAAATGCTTGTCGGAAACTTTTTTGTCAATCCCAGTTTTCATCACGATAGCTCAAGTTTCTGAGAAGTTTCTTTTAACTAGTTACTTAATGCTATCAAATTCCACGATTGACAGCTCTGTTGATGAATGAGTACTGGAGTATTAGAGTACAGCAGAGTAAACGTACAAATTTCTGAGTATCCGCTTCAGAACGACACAGAGATTGTTGTGCTGTGGACTCTATCCTCCTGAGGGATTTTTTTTTGCCATTTTAATAGTAAATGTGTGCTTTTATTTGCTTTAGTGCAGGCATTGGTATATTGGAAATTGGCAATATGTCAGCTCCTGTCTTGGAGATATTCTGCCTTCATCCTGTTAAATGGGAGAAGACTGAGGCCCGCTGTATATTTGTACTGTCTGAAAAGCCCCTCACAGTTTAACAAGATCAGGGCGGTACACTTAAAGAGTTAGCAAACTTTAATGTTCTGCTAAACCCAGATGCTTCAGGCTGTTAACACTGTATTGTCACTGACTGTGTATTTGGTTGTTTGTGACTGCAGGCTTGGAGTGGGACGACGACTTCTCAGCTTTGGAGAATAACTGCCACTCTCAGCTCTCCCTGCAGACACAGAACTGCACTGCTGCGTCCAGGCTAGACCGTTTCTCTTTATCCCAAACCTGCCTGTTTCTCACACATGTCACTGAGGCAGACCTTGAGCTATGAGATAAAGGGGTTAATTCCCCATTTTTGCACAGCAACCTTTTTACATTGGATGTCCCGCCTAGGGTCGGAGGTTAAAATTTGGGTATGTGACTTATGACACGTTCCTTTTAGCTGTTTTCGTTAAGTTTTTGATCCGCAAAGAGGTTCCTTTTTGCGTAATGTCGTAACATCTGATCTGCCAGAAGATCCTTACTTTTTTTTTTTTTAAAGCAGGGTTGAATTCAAACAGGAAGTACTTTAATCGTATGACAGCAAAAACATGCAAAATAAAATCCTTACTATTTTTAAATGTGAAATTTTTCAATTTCAAACATGCGATTAATTATGTGATTAATTACATTAACTGCACAAATTCAGAATCATTTGACAGCCCTAATTACATTATATAACATTATAATATATGATATGATGTATTTGATGTATCATACAAACTATTATCATTTCACCACTTAGGAATTAAAGAGCAAATGAAAAGACAAGGAAAACTGACTTTTAGGAAAGACACTGGGTCAAACAAGTTATTTAAAACCATTAGTAATGTTTGACAAAAGCTAACTTAGCTAACTAAGCTAGCTGTTATAATGTTTGTTGGCCATTTAATTGAAGTTTGACAATAGCTAATGTCAGCATTCAATTCATAGATAACATATATTTTTGTTTAGCTTACTTTACGTAAGCTAGTAATTCAATCTCAAGCTTCTGCTACTTGCTTGTATTAATTGTGTTTCCTGTTGTGTAGCACTAAAGGCAGCAGTTAGCTTTTAGCCACTCACAAGCTAACAGTATTTTTGTCTGAATGCTAACATTAGCTTTATTGTTTGACTTTGACATGTTTTAGACTTCCTTCTCTGACCATAATATCTGAGGAACATGCACTGTGAATATGTTCAATGCCATATAACACAGTGGTATTGGCAGCCTTCATTTAAAGGCCGTCTCACTGTCACCATGGTCGAATGTGACATCCACGCTTGTTTTTCTTTCAGACGGACGGCCTTGACCTAATGGAAAATCTGACGAAGATCTCATCCTCCTCATCTCTTCCTCGTCTCCCAGCCTCCCCTCCTTCCCCTTTTCATGATGAGTCAGGGACGTAAACAGCTCTTTCTGAAAACACCTGCCGTTCATGACATCACAGCCACGCAGGACAGTGTGACAGTGCTTTCAGCTTTCTGACACGGTCGCTGAGTATGATGTGATAACACAGCCTGGTTGTGCAACAGAGCCGGTACCTTTCCAGCTGCACAACTCTTCATAAGATACCTTTCATGTCATAAATTGAAAAAATAAATTGTAATCTGTGTCAATCCATCTTTTTTATTTTTGTTTTATTTAAGTCGTTTTTTAAGTAGTTGGAGTCCAAAGTGTGTGTTGTTTTTCTCAGTTTGTTTTGCGCAGAGTTTTGCTTGTGAAGGCCCCTGTTTGCTTGCCTCATTACTTGAGTGTGTTCAGCTCAGAATTTATCAGCGACTTCGACTGAATAAACAGTGTAAGTCGAAGCCTGAGGGCCAATGGAAGCAGAAACTGAACAAACTACAAGTAAAAGATAATGTTCCCACAGAGCCAGCATTAGCGAGGTTTGGTTGATTAGATACAGTGTACCTGCGGAAAAAAGGAAACCTGGCAAGACCAATCTAACACACACAAACACACACACACACACACACACACACACACACACACACACACACACACACACACACACACACACACACACACACACACAGAATGCTTTTCAAGGACACTAAAAAGAGTGTGCCTCTGGGAGCTTCACACCTGTACATTATTATTGCCATGAGAGGGAGGTGAAATTCAGTGTTCATTTGTCTAAAGGTCATATTCTACTGCAGTTCAATGTCATCTTTGATCAAAAATACTTTACAAATATGTTCCTTTTTTAACTAAAGGCTATCATAAAGTGTGATGTTGTTATTGACTTAAATAGATAGATAGAATCTTTATTATCATTGTATACAAGGACACAACAAAACTTTGTTAGCAGCAATCTTCAACAGCAGCGTTTACAAAAACAACAAAAATAGTTCGCATAGACTACCTATCATAGGTTTTCTTTAATGTGAAAACTTAGCCTTATTAAAGCAAAAGTATTTTTCAAGCAATAATCTTCAGAGAAAATACTGTTACTGTTGCATTACTGCTGTGAAGCTAGCCTGCTAGCTGCTAGCTTAATCACCTGTGTTTCTTCGGGAGCGTGCCTATGTTCCCACATTAAAATATAAATATGTAAGTATCACACCTTGAATTGTGCGTATGGAGCTGTTACTCCATAATTCCACCTTTTTCTTATGAAATTACAAAAATAATGGCAAAAGACATTGAAGGAATAGACCTGGTCACAGGTTTTCATGTTATATAATGTGCAACTTCAGTCTGAAAAAGGAAATATATTCCCAGCAATTGAACTAATACTATTTTATTTCACAAAACATTTTTTCCTTGTTAATACATTTAATATATTACATCCTGTTGCTCAACATTTTCTTTCATCCGCAAGCTGTTCCTCATGATATTCCCTCAGTGTGTCGCAGTGACTTACAAAGTGGTTTTAAAGATGAAACATTTAGGCAGAAGACCTATAGTGTTATTCAATAAAAACACACTGTCATCTTGATAACTAGAGAGTAGAACTACTACAAGACTGTGGGGTGTGTTAACCAATCACTCGTGCTGTGAAACATGATTCAAACCATACGTAGACCTGTATCTCAGTGTCCTGACGTCCCCCTACGTCTACTTCATTGCCTATCACAGCAGGAAAGGGCAATAATCCTAACTGACAACAGTGTGTTCAGGCCCCCAGGTCAAACAGACAGAGTGTGATTACTGTAGATCACACATGTTAAGGGGTGTGTTGGCTTATTAAGTAGCCTATAGTCCTTGTTTGTTTGTTTTAATTCAGTCCAAAGTAATGTGGCTGTATCCTGTGGTACAACTGTCAGTAGGCGACAGGGAAACAACAATCCAAAGCAAAAAACAAACACTTTGTCTGGTAGAAAGTAAATAATGAGATACAGTTCACAGCAGACTTAACAGTTTCTGTACATTCAGGTTAGCCTGGAGGACTGTATTCAAATGAAGCGGTGGAAGGTGATAAGCTCATGGAAATTATGTTAACTGCTTGGAGTAAAAGGAGTGAACCAGGAACCAAAGTGTTTCTGACTGGGTTCATGTTGCTATGTTTTACTTCTTAAAGTCAGCTGAAAAAAAACATTTTAGCTCTGCTGCATCAGCTGAATCATAAATAAGAATATAAGTGCTACACTGTGAGCAGTCGAAGTGGGTTTTTTTTATCATGGGAAGCTGTTTAGAAAATAATAAATGAAGAGAGTGAGGCGTTTGTGCCTAAATATTCAGTAAATGCCTAGGTTACATTACAACATTTGAATTGCCCCCCGGGGACAAATAAAGTTTTTTGAATTGAATTGAATTGAAACAACATACCATAACCAATAACAACTTCATGAATCCAAAAAACTATTAGATGCTATCAGATTTGGCATGTAACCTACTTCTATTAAAACAATGATGCCCCTATTTTTGGCCTTGTATGTCAAACGTTGAAAACAGTACTTTGGCTTTTGATGCAGAACATTTAAAGCATATTATTGCCTTTTCCTCTAAATCTAAAAAAAAAGCCGGTTTTCAGTGAAGCCTGATACATGTGGGCAGGACGCGCAGCTTAAGGAGAGTGTGTTCTGCTCTGTGATTGGCTGAGCAGCGCTACGTGTACATCAGTCAGCTAACAGGTAGCTCACATGTGACAGTTATCTGCGTGTGTGTGTGTGGGTGTGTGTGTGTAAGTGTGTGAGTGAGTGTGTGTGCGTGTGTGTGTGTTTCAGCTGCACGGAGCCGCTCTTTCTGCATGATGCTGCTTTCAATGACCGGCTGCATGCTGCTGATTTCTCTGTAAACACTCAGGAAGGAGACTCTTTACTTTAAGGTGAGACTTTACATTTATTTTTTTTTATTTTTGATTTGATTAACTTTCATGTTTCAACTACAGTGAATGAAAGTGTTGCTGTCATATCAGTTAGGCTACAAAAACCGCCGTTTGTGTGATTAGGTTATGAAAATAAAGCCATCGTTTTTCCATTTTAAGTAATCTATGTAAAACAGAAAGTTTAAGAATATTCAATCATTAGCTTTAAAGACGTTAACGTTGCCAGAACCCCCCCCCCCTTAAGTAGACAAAAACAGCCAATTTAAACATTATGTTTGGACTTAAGGAGGCTTAAAAATGTTATATTGAAATGAATAATTTAATTTGTTAAGCCAAACTTCTCGTGGTTAAAGAAAGTTGAAAAAGTTTGACATTGGAGATGAATTTGCTAAGTGTTGGCTGGTCTCTGTGTTTTTGTGAGTGTAACCTTGAAATGGGCATTAGCCCAGTCTGTGGGGATAAGAGAGGGGTAGATTAACACACCAACATCATGGAGTTTTCACACTGCACCAGGCTGATTAGGTACAGCAGGATGTAGTGTTGTTTAAATGGGAGAGAAGCTTTACTGACTGGTCTGATGGGAGAAGAAAACACTTTTCTATGTTTCAAGTTCAACTTTGTCTCTGACTTTCCCGTTTTCTACTCCAGGACTGTCGGTCGAAGCTGTGAGATCTTTTGCTGCCACACAGAAAAAAAGAAGTTGAAGGAGGCAGCAGAATGAGGTCCAAAGGGAAGGCTACCAAACCATCCAGAATGACCTGGTCTGATCCTGATCCAGATCCGGAGCTAGAACCAGACACTGAACCAGGCTCCAGCGAGCAGGAGGGCTCAGAGGCCTCCGTCCGGATCGGCAGCTCCTGGAGAGGGTCCCTGAGGAGCGGGGGCCGCAAGCGACAAGGAGGAACCGGAGGAGGAGGAGGAGGAGGAGGAGGAGGAGGCCGGAGACGCAGGCAGCGCAGCTCCAGCAACAAGGAGCGCAGCGTCAGACGACTGGAGAGCAACGAGAGGGAACGCCAGCGCATGCACAAACTCAACAACGCCTTCCAAGCGTTACAAGAGGCCATCCCCCACGTCAAGACCGACAAGAAGCTGTCCAAGATCGAGACCCTGACCCTGGCCAAGAACTACATCAAATCCTTAACCGGCATCATCCTGGACATGGGGGCCTGCCTGCCTGCTGAAGGGGTCCCATCAGAGGACAGCGCTGCCAAGCTGCTCCAGTGCTACCAGCAGCACCTGGAGGAGGAGGGGGAGGCAGATCTCACCCAGTACCTCACCCACGTGCACAGCTTGAGCCAGCGCAGTTAGCAGAGGTTGAATGTGGTTTTGAAACCAGAAGAGACTCCTTGAAGCTATTTCCAAGGCAGCGAGAGAGAGGCTTTGGAAGACCTTTTGGGGCCATGTTTCAAAGGATATCCAGTTTGTTCTGAGTCCAAACTGTTCTGGGAAACTGGTCCGAGGTGGGGCGCTCTGTAGATACTAGGAACCCACACCAGACAATAGGAGGGGCAATGTCCATAATGTGTCCTTCATGCAAAGTGTGGATGACCATCCATCTAGAGGGCACAAAGAATGATAACTGGACAGTGAAAAGCTACATGGATCATGGTTAGAAAGTGTAAAAAAAGACCCTTTTATTATTGTCCTTTTTCAATGAAGGGGCCCCTCTGTCTCTTATTTCTCATTTTCTTAGGTTTAAGCGGTGCAGGAAAGTTGTTCTCTTTTGTGTTATCTCGTGATCGTCTCATTTGTTTGCTGTTAAGAAACCCGCCGATCGCAGCCTCTAGTCATAACTGTCACGTCCAGGAAGAGAAGAAAGACAAGCAGGAGGTCTAAATATTTAAAATTTAAAAGGCTTGCTAGAGTGTTTACTCGTTTCTTCATCTTCAAAACATGATCAACTTGTCTTTTTACAGGTTGTGCATTATAGCCAGAAGGCAAAGGATGTTTTTAAGATGTTTGTTTTTTGACTTTTTGTGAGGCAGGATAATGAGGTGATAAAAGATGAGGAGCAGAGGGTGTGTCATCAATAAACACATTTATTTATTGACAGGGACTATTATTTTGGTCATGCATGACACACGAGAAATGTTTTCCACGATGAAAGAACGGTGGTGTTACAGTAACACATAAAGAGATGTTATTGACAGATACTACAGACTGCTCTCTGTACACTTTCAGCATTTCAAAGCTGCTTCAGATTGAACATAACATTAGGATGTGAGACAGCTGTTAACATAAAATAATGCCAGAGCTGATAAAACATCATCAGTGTGGTCGCTTTATCAATATTTTTTTTTTAAACAGAAAGCTGCATTTTCACCAAATTTCTCTTTTGTCAAATGTACAAACACTACCACACTTTATTATATCACCACTTGAATGACTGTGTAATACTCATATTTTACAGATTTACAGGTATTTTACAAATAAAGCATTTTGAATGTCTTCTTTCGGCTTGCTTGTACATATAATTGCCATCAGTACAAAGGAAGTTGGCAGCATGCAAATGCTCCTGAGAAAAGAGGAAGGTTTCAGTTTAAGCTTCTTGACCACAAGACTTCTACAATAGAATTCATACTTTTCTTTATCAATTCACTTGTGATTGCACATACTCCTAGGAAACATTAGTATCTTTAAAAACATCACTCAGTTGATGGTACAAAGCTAGCAGCGACCACCATAGGTACATGAAACCAGGGCAGGTGTTTTAACGGGTGCTACATCCTGGCATTGAATGAAGACACATCCAATTGAATGGAAGGTGGTGGGAAATCTTCCTAAAAAATAAGCTTTAGTCTCAGTTGTACCATTATAACAGAAAAGGCTTCAATGGGTTTTGGGTTATCTACCTTCTAGCCAGGTCGCCTCTCGCCCTGTCAAACTCAGCTTCACACAGTTTTTCACCACATTACAATAAATTAGACAAGTTACACAAGTTCAGGTTCTGAACACGTGACAACAAGCTACTGCTGCTGCTGTAATGTCACAATGATGAAAAAATGTCTGCATTCATAGATGTTAGTGGGGGAAATGGCATTGTCTGGAAAAAATGAGCTGATTTAGGCTTCAGTAAGACGGTTCAGAAAGCTTAATAATACAAAAAAAAAAACAATAAAAAGAAGCCGGTGAAGACTGCCTGCTCCATCCTGTCTTCACTTTTGTTGTTGATCCTGTTGTTATCACTTGATTGGTACATTTGTTAGCCTGTTGCCTGCAGGCTAAGGTCAAACATTATTTTCACTTTGATCACAGCAGCCGTCCAGGAGCTGACAGCTCAGCAGCACTGAATTATTTTCTCTTTAAAAATAACATAAAAAGCATTCTTCTTCACCTTTCATGTGATGATCTAAACACAGGAAGCAACATATAAATGCAGTAAGACCACCATGTTCATGCCTGTGAGTCAAGACAAACAGAGATGGTAAAACAATGCCCGTACTGAGGGGATGAGTGGTTGGTGAAATGAAATACATTGAGGTTAAAGACTAGTGGCTTGTTCGAGGAAAGAAGGAGGCAGTGTGAGCGCAGCATTTAAGATTGTTCTGAGTGTTCATTCATTTAAGTCACATTTTCTGACACACTGAGTGCAGTGTGCTGCCACCTCAGTGTGTAAACACTTCAAACTAAAGACATTCCTCAAAGGTAAAGTGGTTTTAGGTTTAGTAGAAACAGTAGGTGTGCACTTATGTGTAAGTGTTTAGCATCTAAAAGCATTGCAGTTGACCTCTGTGTTCCTGAGAAGGAGGGGGGGGGGGCTCTACATTTGGGCTGACAGTTCTGTTAGAGAGGGAAGACGGGGGGGCTCCATGGAGTTCCCTCTCACTGTGACGTGGTCCCATCCACCCTAAAGAAAGACAGAGAAAGCGAGGGAGAGAGAGAGAGAGGGAGAGAGAAAGAGAGAGAGAGACATAAGCTGCAGGAAAGTGTTTCATATGTTTCCATGATCACAGAAAAAAGAATCATTACAGCCTCCTGCACCACAACTCAATGTAAGCACCATCAAACCGTCAGATTACAAATGTTAAATGTCTCATCCCAGTCCATCGTCTGACACAGAAGCATTTTGTAACCAACGTTACTGTCAACAGAAATGAAACGACATATCAGCAGAAAAAAATGTCATGGAAGACTGTTAGAATTCCTTCCACGGCGTATTTAGCTGAAACTCAATTCAACGCTTTTAGAGATCAAATCAAACAAACATCCTGACAGCTGGGGCTGTACAGTAGAATCACCATGTGTTCGGTATAAAGACATAAAAACTTTAAAATCAAATATCAGTACAGCCTAGGCATTACATTCTTTAAATACAATAAATTACAATCATCCAACAATAGCTGACTATTCAGGTGATCTGATGTCACTCCCTCTGAAACACTAGGTGGCAGTATGCACCTGATCATAAACAAGGTAGAACTACTTGCTCATATACTTGTGTCAGCATCTTCAATTGGCAAAAACAGCACACTGTAGGTTTGACCACATTAGAATTTTGCCAATCTGCAGACAGCACTGTCATTGAGTGTAGTTTTTGTGGTGCCTCACCCCGATGCCGTAGTCCCACGACTGTCCTTTAGGCTCCTTCGGCTGGACTCCGAGTCGATGACAAACTGTTCCACAGCTCAGACTGCGGCTGCCCTGAACTTTGTCTGCTATGATCCACACCTACAACCCAAAATACAACAACATGACTACACACAGAAAATGATTGTTTAGAACCTCAAAGTGGTGTTTCTGCTTATTTCATGTGTAGACGCATACATGGAGAAATTTCAATCATTCATTAAAGAATCAAACTTTCAGGTTAGAAGCTCTGAATACTAAAAATAAATACTGTCAGAACGGTGAACATATGAAACTATGACATCTACAGCTGTTTACTTAAATGCAGAAAGTAACAAACTGTGACTAAAAGTTCCACAAAGTGAATTCCTGGTACTGACCTGGTCCAGAGGGCCTATAGAGACCTTACGCACATTATTAGAGATGTGTTCCCAGGCAGAGCCCTGAGGGTAGCTGGGGGTTACACCCTGCCGGTACCACAGGTTACCTGGGCAACAGAAAAATCAAAATCTCTCCACCAACAAATATTAATGATATCAGGCCTCTATCTAGTAGTTTTCTTAAATGTGAGCTATAAAAACTAATCAAAACGCTTTACTGTTTTCATCGACGGTGTACACAGAAGTCCTCCCGACAGACACCTGCTTCAGCTTCTGTTTGGATGGGGAGGGGATGTGGTACCAGCAGTCTCCTGTAGACAGACAGACACAGACACAGACACACAGACACACACACACACATTATGTGGAAAGCACCTGTATCTGCAGTACCCAAGGCTGACAAGTTTTGTTTTTGTACCTTGGAACATTCTAAAGCAAATTTTAATCTATAAATCCAACTGGAGCATGAATTAAATTCTCAGTACTTCCAGGCCCACTGACCTGCCGGGTCTTGTGAAGAGACTGATCCTCTGTAGAAGGCAGAACCGTCTCTGGCGATGGCCCAAACATGGCTGGCTGCCCCTATCGAGACGGACTTGAAAGGCTGGTCAGTCCCCACATGGAGCCATGAGGATCCCTAAGAGACCAACACGAGGATGTTAGAGCAACTTTTAAATCCCAAGTGCTATTTCTGCTTCCTCCTTTTTTGAGCTCCACTGGTAGAATCATTGCATTTTCCATTATTTTCTACCCATTGACAGGAATTTGATTAGTGCAGTTAACCATGGAGCTAAAAAAACTCATTGAAGAGTTAAAGAAAAGGAAAGGTTTCCATAGTGTCCAAAACAAGGAGAGTGAACAGATGCAATGATAAACATGCCAGTGAGTGTTTATGTGTGACTCATCAAATAAAGTTAAACCCGTTTTTGTAAATCTAATTGTGACTCACAGCGGGTGTCAGAGCGGTGACTCCCAGTCTGCAGAGGACGTCTCCCTTGTTACTGATCGCCCACAGAGGAACCACGTCCACACTGCTCTGAGCTGCACACGGCAGGATGCTAACATCACTCAGGGGTATGGGGGGGATTTCTTGCCAGGGTCCGTGGTGGCCAGTTTGCACTTTCTGTTGTAGGAGGAAAACACAAAAGCTCACAGCTGACCACGCTAATACTTGGTCTCCTCATCTTATGACTTTTTTTTTTTAAACCCACACAATCACACACAAAAACTACAAATGTCAAGTGCAGATTCAGACCTCTCTGTACCTGCTAAACAAATAGGGTTGGAGATACTAATATGCCAGCGTTGCTATTTATAGTACCTGGCCCATCGCCTGCGACGCACAAAGTCCTTCATCGTTTTATAGCCGTGATATGACCTGCGGGTAAAGAAGAGGAATAGAAAAAATAAAAGGCCATATATTAAACTAACAAACACAGAGGGTCATTCTGAGGAAAGTACAAATTAAACCTACGCTGGAAAATCTGCAGCATATTGCCAGCCCTCTCTGTCTGTCCCTCCAGAGACACTGTAGTCGACGGCCCAGTCAGACACCTGCAAACAACATACGCGGGTGGTGAAACACTCTCATATCAGTGCTATTTGGGATAGAAACCTTGTATGTGTTAATTACAGAACAATCATTTATAGTTTTCAAACTAGTGGCATGTCACAGTGTGTGTGTGTGTGTGTGTGTGTGTGTGAAGCTGTACTTACCCACGTCCACTGAGGAGAGGGAGGCTTTGTATTTGTTTTTGTGCACTCGTGTAGTCCTGATGCATCGCTCCACATGTAGCGGTCTGTTGGTAGCCCTCTAAAATAAATCAAACATACATGTACTTTAGGTGAAAGGTGAGGTTTTTTACAAATTATTAAAATAAAGATTAAATACAAACTGTGAAATCTGCAAAGCACAGCTGCAGCCTTTCATTCAAATTTCATAAACATTCAAATCTAAGTATCTCTGGTGCCGCTGTCTACACTGAACAACTCACACACAATAGAAATGTATGTGCTACCAGTTAGCCTCAGCTGGTGATGTATGCTAACAAAAAATGTTTCAGCAGCAATTACTTTTTATAAAAAGGATCCAGATGTAAATCATAAATGCAATCTTTAAATTCCAAACATCCCCTCTTGACTTGAATCTCAGTGCTGCCTGAAGTGAGCGCACTACCTGTTGGTGTAGCCGGTGACAGGGTTCCACCTGTGGTTCTCATAGATGTAGACGCTCTTCACATCCACTTGTGTGTAAATGTTATCCGTGCTGCTGGCCAGTCCCTGGAAGAAGCCTCCCCCATAGCCCCCGGTGTAGATCCAGGCTGTGTGGTCATAGCCGATCCCCCACACGATGCCAACGCTGTTACACTCGATCATGCGGAGGTGACCTCCCACCTGCCGCCAGAACCTGAAAAAGGGAGACATTTTTCATAAAGGTTTATTTAGTAAGAACACAAAAACCTGCAGCAAATATCAGAAGTGAAAATAACATTTACTACTACGCTTATGTATCTTCACATCAGATTATTCTTTCTCTCCTGAATGTGAATGCATTCTTCTTACATCTGATCGCAGGGTGTGGGGTAAGGCATCTCCTCCAGGGCAGGAGAGGGCTCACTGACAAAGATGTCCCCTTTACAGGTGATAGACCAGATGGCCTGTTTGGAGGGGGGGCCCTGGATCCCCCTGGAGTCACAGCATGACACACTCAGCAACGCCAGCTTGAGATTGTGATGGAGGGAAAGCAGACAGAGTGGATTGTAGAGGGAGAGAGAGAGAGAGACAAGTGAGAAACAATTAGAAATAATCTAAGGCAATATAAAAGGGAACCTTACAAATATGTGCATGTCACACATCTGGACACATAAAAGATGTTGGAGGAAGTTTTTCATATCAAATGAAGCAAAATAAAAGTGCAAAAAAAAAAAAAAGCTCCACTGTTTTTTGTCTTTTTTAATATAGTATGCATTCATACCCAGTCGTGCATCTCCAGCTCTGTAGCTGCAGACACTCTGATTGGCCACCTCTGTTTGGTCCGCTCAGGGGTGTAGATGGCAAAAGTGTGTTTGTAGTCATTTAGTACAGGAACCAGAATGGTGACCTCGTTGATGAAGGCATGCAGGTACTAGAGAGGGCGACAACAGAGTGAGGAGAAAAGGAGAAGTAGATACTTAAAAATATGATGTTAATAGAGGAAGAAAGAATAAGAGAAAAGCAGTAGTGAATGGAATAATTCACTTTTATGACTCATTTTATTACCAAAGGTATACATTATTCATCTGTTGGCTTCATGACAATCTGACTTTGTATTATAAAAACAAGATGGCTCAGACACTTGGTGCTCACCTTCTTCTCCTCATAGAAGTTGTAATAGATGAAAAGGATGCCGTCCTTGTTGCCCTCTGGTCCTGAGAACTGCTCCAGGGCAAAATGAACATCCATCCACTTGTGTGGCTTCCAGTCTCTCCACCACTGCATGGTTCCCTTCTTCATCCACACTGACTGCATTGTGGTGAGTGTAATGATTTGTGAAAAAGAAAGAAAAAGAAAAATACCATTCAAAGAGTGACAGGATGAAGTGTCATAGAAGAAAAAGAAAACTACAAGATCAAGACCGAAGTCTTTCCAATGGTACAAATACTGAATCCCAATCCTCCTAACACTTTGTTTGGGTCCTGCAGATGATAACTGTTCCTGCTCTTTGGTGGGGGAAATAGAGGTAGTGGTTATGAAACTTCAAACACCCCACCATATTAGGGGTTTCAGATGCAGACTACCAACAGAATGGATTTACTTGTGAGGCAGAGTAAAATAGTATACTGCTGAAGGTGCAGAGAAAGAAGCCCATTTTTTTAACAATCATATCAGAAATAAATCCTATTCATGATATCAACAAACTTTATGCAAGTAATGATTTATGTCTGACAAAAAAAAATATTTTCACATACTGTAAATGTATCAAGTTCCAAATAATGACATAACAAGTTCTATTAAACCAGAGTCCTTTGATTGTCTAGATTAAGATTTGAACCTGTACACGTTATGGGCCACTACGGACTCCAGGGCGCTCCAGAACTAGGATTGGGACCAATGGGGTTGGAAATGACATTGGGCTTTCATTGACCTGTTCTATGGCTTGTTCATAATGTCGGAAGTTATCCAGCTCTCTTTTGGTCCTCTCATTGAGTTGCTCAAAGATTTGTCTCTTCCAGGCTGCCGTCTGTGCCGGGGTGATGGACAGACTCATGGACTGGACTGACTGGACCAATACTGGGAAAGAGAGAGAGAGAGGAAAAAAAAGGAGTAATTAAAACAACATGAACACAATTTGATGCTGCTTCACAAGTTTCCTGCTGATGTGAGATTATTTAATCGTGCTAGTGTCAATTTAAAAGCTCTTTCTTACCTGCAGAGAAGTGCCACACTTTAGAGCACTGACTCTGTATCAGGTCGGCAGAATCAGTCATCTCTTTTAAGTCCCTTCTTAAGACACACTTTTTTGTTAATTTTTTGACTTTTTTGATTTTTGTTGATTTTAAATTGTTACTATTTTCACTTCCTTTAAAAGAATTATATGTATTTTACAGTTCTTTTAAAAGGGATTTTACATCTTAAAGTGATTTTTATTCCTTAATCTTGCCTTGTTTCTTATTCTATGACCTGCCTGTTTTTATATTTGCTGTCCTTGTAAAGCACTTTGTAACTTGTTTTTGAAAATTGCTCTATAAATAAAAGATTCTTATTCTTATTATTAAGTGTAAATACATTTCACTCACAGGAAGCGTTCATGGAGCTGTTGAACCAGTTGAGTTGAGAGTGACTGTCCACAGAGCAGCCTCCTCCGCTGACCCACGCCCACAGAGGGTGCTCATCCGCCCCGTACGGGTCCTCCATGGCCAGGGTGTATGTGGCCACTGATGACAAGCTGCAGGTGTCAGCTGAGTCCAGTGCCGCTCCAGTCTGAGCCTGCTGTCCCTGCGCCTCCTCCAGGTCCACATTACTCCACTGAGGGTCCAGAGGAGCTCCGGACTGGCTTAAGGAAACAGCTAAAGCACCAGAGGGGGCTCTGACCTCTCTGTCCTCAGTGACAGTTCCCTCCTCCAGAACAGCTGGAGCCGCAGAGCCGCAGACCTCTCTGGAGATCTTTCCTGTTTCTCTGTCGGAGACCAGTTCAGAGATGAAACTGTCACTGGTGACTTTGGGGATGAGCGGTTTGGGGGTTTCTGAAAGTTGGTCTGAGGGTGCGTCCACAAAGGACTCGGGGGAAGTGGAGGTGGCGAGGCAGTTGGCTCCATCTGTAGATGCTTTGTCTGTGTCTGATTCCACATCGCTCGATACCGTCTGAACCTGGACCTCACCACAGAAGTAGCATCCAGCACTGTGAGGAGGAGGGAGAGGATCAGGATTCAGTTATTATTTGTTGCCCTACAGATATTCTAACATTATATATATATGGGGACTGTTAGTATGTATTTTCATGAATTCATTCATCTTGATAATTTTGTGGATATATTTTTAAATTGTGTAAACTATCTCAGAGTAATTCTTCTTTTAGGTTTGTAAAGCTGTAATACACATGTGTTAGAGACCTCATAACAGCAGAGTTATATTTGGTTTGAAGTGTCTGATGTCTTCTTTCTAGCCTTTTAGAGATGAACCGAAGCAGCCAGGAATTTGTGGGCTGTACCTTCTAGTAGAATATAAGCAACACTGTGAAGATGAAGACTTTGTCAATGATTGTGAGATCTTGGTCTGCACTTTGTCAGCCATGTGTGTTGAGTTTCTGTGTTGTCTGACCATGGCTGAATAAATCTAAGAAGATCCACAGTCTGTTTCACGATTTCATCATTGTTCATCTACTATAGAAACAACCCCCACCTAACAGGGATATGATAGTATGCAGTGGGATGCATGTCTACCTGCCCAAGTAGCTGCTGACAGATTCTTTTAAAAAGCTCTGATGGAATCATAATATAGGTTTTCATGACTAATCTTTTTTTGCAGATTGTTATGTTTATGCCGGTATGTGGCCAAACAATGACACATTTTCTGTTGTTTCTTATTTCACACTAGGACTCAGACTGTACTTGGAGGTGTTTAGTAATTGTTTTCTAAATATATCCAAATGTATTGTTTACCTTTCCCTAACATGCTTTGATTGTCACACTGGCACTACAGTATAGGGTACCACAACAAATCCCACCTCAAATAAGAGAGCAGTCTCTTAATCATCATTGTGAGTGTCTGTGTGCGTCTGTGTCCTCTAAGGCTTCGCTACCTCTGCAGGCTGCTTGCGCTCGCACTGGAGTGAGATCTGTCTCCGTCTCGGGGGACGTTTATGACCCTCCAGGTTTTTCCGCTCAGTTCGCTAGAGGTCACACCTTGTCGGAAGCACACCGCCCGATCCTCACAGCTGATAGCCAACACCTACAACAAGAAGCAGGTTCACTTAAACATGTCGACGTGCGTGCCAACAAGAAGGTAACTAATAGAATAAATCTTTGTTTCTTCCTGCTTTTTCTCTATATTACTGATCTGAAAACTAGTTCAACACTAAACACAACATCAGGCTGGAAGTTTTTATGGTATATTCTAAAAGTATTCCGGGAGCTGTAATGCACAGTGCGGGACATTCACCTGGTCATTGAGTCCGACGTTGATCATGATCATTTCTCCTATCATGCTGATCCAGCCGGAGCCACAGGGGTTGTGGGAGTTCACGCCTCGTCTGAACCACACCTGACAAAGCCGGAGAGTGTGGTGAGAAGTGATCACTAATAACATCATTCTGCTCAAACACTAAGTCACCTACAGTTCATCCACACAATGTTTGTGTGCAGCTAGGGCTGGGAGATACGGTCCAAAACTCATATCTTGATATTGATTTTCTGAAAGGCGATACTCGATATATATCGATATGTATTTTATTAACAGTGAAAACACATGAAAAAATAAACTACCTGTTTGTGAATTTAAAAAGTAATATTATAAAATAAAATGTTCCTTAAATACAATAAAAGAGAGCGAGAGGAGGAGCAGGGTGAAGAGGGACAGACAGTCAGTCATCATCAGTGAGATGAGAAAAAGGTGCCTGGCACCTCTATAACCTTATTTTAATGCAACATAAACTATATACATATTAAATATCTTGTCTTACCCTATATATCTTGAAAATATATCCATATATCTTAAAAACTTGATATATTGCCCAGCCCTACGTGCAGCATGTTGTTATTGATAAATACAGAAAACTCTGACCGCCACAGCAAAGCTAAGCTATCGCTGCATTGTTATAGTAGTGCTTTATATGTTTATTTCACTTTTTCTAGAGCTGAAAATTAAAGAATTTAAAGTCACGTCGGTGTATGACTGCTTTCTATTAGTTTGTTCAAGCGCATGGATACTTATACAGAGCACTGCAGAAGCCAAGTTATACAAACAGTTATGGTAATACCATAAGGTTGTATATAAAGGTAAAAGTTTTTGTTTTATTTACTTCTTGATAAATAATATCAACTTCTTTTTCACATGTTTTCAGCAGTATTTCAATCTTTGTATTTTATTAAAACTTACTTTATTGTCCTTGGTTAAAGCCCAAACAACATTGACTCCCACAGCAGCATGAATGGCTCCAACATCTGGACTAGGAGAGTCCACCACAGCCCAGGAGGTACCTGACGTGCAGACAGTATTATTTCAAATGCAGACACTCAAAGTCAAACCACCATGTTTTCCACCTCTGGTTAGTCAGTGTACCTTTGGGGCAGTCTCTTCCGATGCCCTCCCTGACTATGAGTTGCCCTCCCACAGCACCGCCCAGACCAGATCCCCCGGGCCACAGCTGATCTGGACCACCTCGCCAGGGAGAGGCACCTCCTCCCATGAAGATCCCTCAGGATTGTGATGACAGATCCCTTCTCTGAACCACACCTGGATGGAGAGACAGGAGAGTGAAGCCTTGTTCACACTTTGCACAAAAAAACACTGAAACACTCCAAAGTTTACAGGGTGGACTGCTCGTGTGAACGCAAACAAGCAGTGGAGAGTTTCTCCTGCCTGCCCCCCAGGTCTTTTTTCCTGTATGAAGTCTTAGTGAGCTGATGTGAGAACGCAGCAGGATATAAATCAGAAGAATTCACCTCGAGAGTTGGGGATGGGGTGGTGACGTTTATTCCCTGAGATCAGTTCACGAACATGGACTGTATGCACATGACCAGTGCTCGTAATTAAACTGCTGCATCATGATTTCTGTTCACCAGCATGTTTTAATAATCTCTTTGTCTCTTACAGACAAAGATCGTCATAACATACAGCAGAGGTGTCTAAAGTATTGACATTCATTACTCAGGTAGAAGTAAAGATACTAGGGTTTAAAAAGACTTCTGTAGACGTTGAAGTATCAACTCAAGCTTTTTACTCAAGTAAAAGTGTAAAAGTACTGGTTTCAAAACTACTTCAAGTATAAAAGTAAAAGTAATGTAAGGGGAAAAAATGCCATTAAGGACAAAAGCCATAAAGGCCATAATGACTATAATGTTATATTAAAATGTTAATGTTGAAACATTTGAGATGCACCTGTTTCAGCCGCATTTATGCCCATTGAAAATGAACGCATTTTAGTACAAATACATTAAAGAACCATATATGTGTACTACTGAGCATTAACATGTGTTTCATGGAGCGGAGGATATGATGACTAGTTGCCTGTAAGTATTGTAATGGTGCAAAAAGTCAAACTTCAGAGGCATGTTATCAATAGCCTTTATTGGAATGTAAATGTACATCCAAGCTTAGCTGCAGGAATCTGTGAGGGCAACAGATGTAAGATAACAAAACTGGACAAGAAAATTGGTGTACCCCAGGGCAGGCTTAGTAACAATTACCCTTGTATGGTCAAATTCACTCTATCCGGATGGCGCAATTTATCTGGATATTTTTTTTTTGTGTTTTTTTTGATCGATGACAAGCCGAAATGAAATAGGACTAACGAGGCTATTTTTAAAATGTAAGAAGTAGAAGTCAAAAGTCAGCTGATAAATAATTACTCCAGTAAAGTATAGATACCTAAAATGTCTACTTACATAAGGTAACAAAGTATTTGTACTTAGTTACTTGACACCTCTGGCAGACTCTGTTGCTGTGTGACTTTACAAAGCCATAGCATGTGTGTATACAATCACTGTGTATATCACATTAATCTAAACAATCCAACAGATTAGACAAATGGCAGGTGATACAGATCATAGAAGTTCTATCAAGCTGTACCTTGCCCTGCAGGGACACAGCCCACAGTGACAGCCGCGCTCTGGGCTCCTCGCTGATCTCCCAGCCTCCACAGCTGATGTCGCTGAAGGGATCTGGTAGAGACGTCTGCTGTTTGGGGATCTGTCGGCACAAAGCGGGGCGCGTGAACACAATGAACGCCACACACACACACACACACACACACACACACACACACACACACACACCTTAGCCCAGGTGTCCATGGCTTTGTACCTCCTGTAGCGAAGCCATCGCCTCCGACGAACGCAGGAGTTCCACTTTTTGTCTTTGGTGTAGGTGGCGGGAAAGTCGATGGAATAGTTCCAACCCTGCAGACACAAACTCCTAAGTTTAAAAAAAGAGCTTGTTGAACTAATAAGTAATGCAGCAAAAAAAGAAAAGAAAAGATAAACCCTCACCTCTTTCTCTGTGGGCTCCCCCTCGAAGTTTTCATCCATGTGCCAGTCGCCCTCCCACTCCCAGCTGCTGGAGGGGAGTGTGAAACTGTCCAGAGGCTGATGTTGCAAACCTGTGACGTCACTCCACTGCCAGCGATCGCTTGGCAACAATCGGTCCGAGAAGCCATCAACAGGGTTCCATCGCTGACAAGACAGAAAGACAAACGAAGAAGTCATTTAAAGCACACACTGCACATTACTTATAATGAGCAGGTGCAACACATTTCATAGGAGGGAAGAAACTTGTTTTGTTTTGTTTTTTTATTTGAGTTTCACATTGAGTGCTTTCACTTAGTCTGCCTGGAAATTAGTTCAATGTGCTTCTTATTAGCTTGTTAAGCAGCAGCTGACAGTGTGCTAAAGTTATCAACAGAGGAAACACAACTCTGCTGTATGAGGATGTAACACTTACACTTTAGTCTTTCCACATGACACAAGTCTAAGGGGAAGCCCAAATTTTCACTTTATTTTTTTGTATTTGTTAAGGGATTATGTACAATAATATATATATATATTGTGCCATTTGAATTATATTGTATCAGAGTTATCCTAGAGCTTATTTACATCTGCAGTTCTCTGCAGTTCAAAATTTTGACAAGGAAAGGAAGAAAGTATTTGCTCCAGATTAAAATTCTTCTCAGAGTAAAACCTGATTGGAGGAAGAGACAAACCTGGTTCTCGTAGGTCTCCTCCTGGTAGCGGACGGGCAGGTCAGAAGCGTGGACGTTCAGGTAGATGTTGTTGTCACAGGCGATGCCCCAGCAGCACTGTTGAGCTGCCGTCACCCGCTTGAACTCCATCTGAGCATCTCGACACTGCTCCCACTGCTGCCCTGCCGTGGAGAGGCTGTAGACCCGCCCGTACACGTCCACCGCCCATAGCAGGGAGACGGGCATGGCTGCACTGGACCCTTGGGAACACGGGCACAGGAAGAGGATGGATCTAGACAATATAGCTTTCACTTTGCTTCTCCATCCTGTTTACGAATATCATTTGAAAGGGTTAGTTTTTAGTATGTTACTAGATGAAATTCATGACTAATACACAATTTTATGGCTAAATGTCATACAAATAGTTTTGTACATGTTTGAAATTTTAGTGAATCCCGCCTTGAATCCCAAAACTAAATTCAGATGTTTTTATGACAATTTGACAACATACAGGGGTCATGTTGGGCCAAATCTCAGGGTATGCATTTAATTTGACTGGTTGAAAAATAGCATAGAATAGAATTACTTTATTGATCCCAAACAGGGAAATTGTGGCGTTACAGCAGCAGGTTGTCCAAACACACAATATGAGCAAATAAACACAATATAATATTAAATACAAAGTAAATAAGCACTAAAAATATCAAAACTAAGAATGAGAATATATACAACCAGGATTTAACTTTTTTAACTAGCATTACTAGTCTTAAATATGAAAGATTAAATGTAAATGTGCAAAAACAGAGTTGTAAATGGACAGTATTGACATAGGGAGATGTGCAATCAGTGATACAAAAATAGCTTTGTAAAAATACAAGTGTGTGTGTACTTTATTCAAGATTTGTATTTGTCACATGCTCATACAGATGTGCAGTGAAATGTTTATGTTTATCTATGTGTGTGATAATTTAACCTGAACAAGCAAAACAGGGGTCAAAGCCTCACAATCAATGCTGAAAAGAGCAGAGCTTCACACATCAATGAAGATCATGTGTTGAGATGGTACAACACTTTCAATTCATTTATTACATCTCGACCCAGATCACCAAAACACCACGGCCTAGATCACATGTCATGCTGTAAACAATGCTGTAAACAATGCTGGGGTTGCATGTTGTCAGTGCTCTCCATTTCACAACACTGCGTATCTCCTGAGGGTGCTGATGCTTATAGGCGTATCCTCTGTCACCACTAACATCAACTATTAGCCTACTGTAAGATTAAAAAAGCTTGAAAACTCTAAAAACATTAATTTAAAAAACAGCTGCAAACACGACGAGTACAGCAAAATTAAAATGTTTCCGTTTGTGAATGTTTGACGTGTGTAGCTGTTTATTAAGATACATAGCTTCATTTAGCACTATGAGCTAAAACATTAGGGTGAATGGGTAATTTACTGCAGGTGTGAATGAAATATGAGTGTTACAGGTAAGCTGTTGTGCTCCAGACAAACGTACATTGTAGAGTAAAATCAGCTTTAGGCTTGAACAGCAACACTCAGCTTGCTTTTGGTGCAGGCTTAGAGGCTTAGCTCTCTAGAAATAGAAAATGAACAGAGTTCAAACACACCTACCTGGTGGCTTCCTCTCATGAAGCGTCGATAACACGGCGCAGATGTGACGTCACAGCTGCTCCTTCAGCGAGTTTAAATGAATATCACAGTTTCTAAATCATGACGGCTCCGGCTCGGTCGGGACGGTCGGGACTCGGGTATCCCCTCTGATGTTCACTGCATAAATTCTCTCCCCTGCGAGAAACCGGAAGAGCTGCTGTTTCTTTGTTGCTATTGGTTGGTGCCGCGGCAGCAGGCGTCTGTAGCGTTAATCCTCCAGCAGAGGGCGCTGCTGGCTCACATTTCACAGCGGACACTGAAGCGAGAGGTAGAAAGTAACTCAAGTTTGATGTCCTCATACTTAACAACACCTGTATACTTGTAACGCACTACATAATAGAGGAACATCTTGCATATTTAATTGACTAGCCTCATCTCTCTGACAAATAGTTAGTTACGTTGAATATGCAAAACAAAAGTAACTTTAGAAAACATGATAGGCCTACATTAGAAGCCCTGCTTACTGATGTAAGTTTTGTCAGGTAGTTTATTAGATCTGCTTAGATTAGATATTGCTTAAACCTACCATGACAATGAAAAAGATGTTAAAATGTAGCTAATAAAACAAAAAAACATAAATAACAGAGGCGTCCAATATATGTATATATATATATATATATATATATATATATACACACACACAGTATATACCTATATGATAATAAGTTATGACTGGTTATGTTTGTTCTTTTCCTGATACTTCAAGTTTATTTTTCTAGTTACACATGCTTATGTATTTTATTACTGGTCTGTTCATGTTTTTATAAAAAGTAGGGGGATATAAAAATCTTAAATAACAGACCAGCATCTCTTTCATCATCAGAGAGACTAAGCTAAAGCTAAACAGCCAGAGCATCAATTATTAAAACAGCAGTATTCTCATGAGAACTAAAAGGAACCATCAGAACAGAAACACTATTCAGGGTGGATCGCTCACTGTCATCATCACGTATTTGTCATGGTCCCCTTTATAACTTTCGCAAAAGTTCAAATAAAAGCCCATCCCAATTTAAGGCCCAGTCCCTTTTACTAGCCTAGTGTAGCTGTAAAAAAATAGTTACAATCCAAATAAATAGGCTCCCCTTATCTAAATATCCGGGCGATAAGGAGAACCTAAACCACCACTTTATAACCAACTGATAAGAAAAATAAAAAGATTTGAGCTGGTGGCTCATTGGTTAGTGTGCGCGCCTCATTGTGGAGGCTATGCTCCTCCAGGCTCAAATCCCACCTGTGGCTCCCTTCCCACATGTCATTCCCCACTCTCTCTCTTCCTGATTTCTGAATCTATCCACTGTCCTAACTCTCAATTAAAGGCAAAAAAAACCCCAACCTAGATTCAAGGGCAGAACAAAGAAACTCACTACAGCTGAGACACAAAGGCCAACAGGCCCGTGTTTATAAAGAAATCAAAAAGGCTGGGTCAGAAATTCCCAGCCCCAGAAAACTAGACTTGTAGAGCTGCTAGAAATAGTAAGCAAGTCAAGTGGTGATTATACAGAATAACACACTTCTAACAGACACATGAAACACAGTGATAACCACTCACTATCTGTGATGGTGAAACAATGAGTCAGCCTAGTGCTGCAACTCAAGGGAATATATAAGCTAAACACACCTGGTCCAAATAAGGGCCAATCAGTCACACACACACACACACACACACACACACACACACACACACACACACACACACACACACACTGACACTGCACTGAGATGATTAACTCCCCACACTCAGTGAGTAACCAGTGTGATCTCCCTCACAGAAAATAAATGAAGGCCTCGTTTCGACGCCTGCCTCAAATAGTGGCAGGGTCATTTCATAGATTGAAGTAAATAAAAGCCAGAGCTATTAATGAAGGTTTTATAGTATTTCTTAAAGTTCCCTTTGGATCCTTTTTAAAGAGGTATACAGCCCACACACCTGAAACAAATCTTGATATTTTGGGGATATCCATCTCCCTGTTGTCTAATAGCCTTAGCACTTTACAATTAAAGGTTGAATGACAATGATTAAAAACATATCTTAATCTTTATCTCAGAGTATGAAAACAAGCTGTAAAAGCAGTGAGACGAAATGAAAATAATAAAACACTCATTATGCCAACTTTGACTTAACCTTGTTTTATTCAGAAAAAAAGACTACACTGGTCAACACAGTGGCAGGATACTCTGTAGAAGGCAGATTAATTATATTTGTATGTTGGGTTCACTTACACACTTTACATCAGTGAGTCTGTGAGGGTAAAAAAAAACAGCTCAATCAGTTTCTCTTCATACATTTATATTCTGTAAAGGAAACACAGGCAAAGAAAAAGTCCTTTTCCTCACAGAACACTTAATACTTGATCAGATTTCAAACAGTGACCCACTTTCTTTTTTTCTTTATATGCTGCAAATGGCTACCAGTAAGGTACATTTTTTATTTGCATAAACTGCACAATGCTCACAGAATCTACATTTAACAGTAAAGCCATGAGGAGCGACAAATATTCCTTTCATCGAAAGGTCATTCTTCTCATTTGAAATACATATCAGCCGTCAAATCAGAAACAACGAGTGATGGTGACAACAATGTCTGTCTTATTTCGAGGGACACTACACAGAATTGACTCCTGTATACAAATCTTATTTAAATATCTTAAACAAATTGACTAAATATAAATAGCCTTCTCATTTGAAATCGTGACGTACTGTTTTGCCTTCACTCAAATGACAAACCTTTTTTTTCTCCCCCAACACATCACTCTCCCTTCATTCTCACAACCTTTTATATCACAATTCCTTTTTTTAAAAAAGAAACACAAACATAGTCAATAAAAATAGAAATAATAACATATCAGATGTTTTTTTTTGTTGGCAAGTCAGGAAAACAGCCTGTGTCTTTTTCATCAGCATCAGCTTTTCTTCACTTTCTTTAGCGTCTCTTTTATCTGTATTCAAACACTGCGGACTGCAGGAAAACAAACCCTCTTAAAGGGACAGTCCACCCCAAAATGAAGACTCTGGTTTTATCTCGTTAAGCATGGGAATAAAAGCTCTGAACACAGAACATAATAAGTCAGGCTGTCCCAACCTCCGGGTCCCGAACGAATAGCATTCAAATGGGGTCCCATGAAATTTGTATTTATTGATGAATAAAAAATATATTGTATATTAAATATAGTGAACATAGGCTACTGTGGGCCATTATAGCCAAAGCCAAAACAAGAAACTTGCAGATTCTTCCTCTGTTCACAATAATATACATGAAAAGCCTGAATGTGGTCTAAAATCAATGTTTACTTGAAACATAGTAAAACATTTTTTTATAATACATGATTAAAAACAAATGAATTTTAGCCAAAAGCTGTATGTGGTCTGTATAAATTGGGGTTTACCAGAGGTTGGGAACCACTGCAACAAGCCTTCATACCTATATTTAAGCTGTGTGTTATAATGCTAAATGCAGTTTATAACTGCATCAACAGTTCATGCTAACATTTACTAAAACAAATCCTTGTTCATTCTAATTCATTTGCTTTTAAGCCCGTTTAGGTTTAAGGTAATGTTTGTCAAAAAAGTTTTGAGATTTTTTTAACCTACTGTTAGGATGAAAGGACTGGAAGAATCTGGGTTTGTTTTTTTACACTTCCACTTTCAATTAGCATGTTTACTAGTTTGTGTTATTTCCTGATGTTTAGAGTTATAATCCTTTAGGTTTTCATGAAATCAAACCATAAGCTAATACTAGTTATATATGGTGAGCATGTTTCAGCATTAGCCATTTAATATGGTAACGTTTACTGGCTCCCTCTCCTTATACTGCAGGAGTTTCTGTGGTATAGTGACAGGGCCAGCTCATTCACATGCTGCATGCTGATTGGCTGCTTTTGCATGATACTTCTATACAGTAAACAAGACTTATTTTCAGTGTTATAAGCCTGCTTTTTTTATTATCTCAGAGCTGTTTAAAGTGACATGAAATGTAAACCAGACATTTCCTTCTTCTTTTGCTTTGCACTAGCAGCACTCCACTGCTTTTATTCTGAACTATTTTAGGCAACTAGACAAATTCTGAATGTTAATTTTGGGATGGATTGTTCTCAGACATTTACTTTAAAAACAAAATGTTTGTTTTTGTACAACAAAAGACGTTCAGAGTTCTTGTGTTTCATCTGTTGATTGAGAAATATTTCCCTGTTGGGATACATGTTAAATACACTTGTTCAATGAAACAACGGATCCAGATAATAGAGCACACTGGTACTGAGAGAGACTAGCATGCAGGCCGGTGAGACGTCAGGTTGGGGTGATATCTGGTGTGTCACAGGGGTCCCCTTGTTTTTGACCCCCATGGAGGCATGACTCCTGTGATAATCCTCCTGCTGGGTGTCAGACGACCGGCGCTGATCTGTCATTCGTGACGGTTGGTCTCAGCTTGACTGTGGCAAACGGATTCCCTCCTCTGTGAGAAGAAAATTGGAATATAATCCAATTTCATAATCTGGTATTTAACAAATTTTTAATGATGAAATCTGTGAGTTTTTGTTAGTTGTGTTAGATCACTCACCCCAGAAAGGGAGCCTTTGCAGTCCCATTGACTAAAGACACCTGTTGTCAAAAAACACAGAAGAAGAAACCCTTTAAGATACAGCAGACACACTGACATAACACACACACCACCAGAATCACCATATATCCACACCCTGCCTCCAGCTGTGAGGAAAGTCACTGTTACCCGACTGGTTTGATCAGATTTCCCATCAGCACTCCCCCCCACCTCCCCCTCCCTCCTACCCAATCAGTGCATGGAAGATTTGACACGTAGTTTAGCTTCACCCTCAGACCTCAGCCAGTTTGGAATCTAGACAATCTAGAAAGGCTGGTGAGAGACACACTCCTCTTTTTTCTCACCTGAGGACGACAATAATGTTATCGCTTCCACTGAGCCAAGTGGGCATAGAGACGATAAAGTTTAAGATCATCAATCTCAGCTGTGAGTCCTGAGGCCTAGTATGGCACATACTTGATTATATGCCATATGAGTCCTTATTATGTAAGGCTAGCAGGGTGCTAACAGAGGAATTCAATCTATGAATGTTTTTTATTCCCTTGTTTTAGTCTTTCAGGAAACACCTCTCCGTGATCAGTACTTCCTTCTAACTTTCGTTTAAGTTTTTTTATTACAAACTTAAACGAAAAACGTATCAAACATAACACATCAATATTTTAACTTAAGCTTTTGCTTTTTTCAAAACTGAACATTGTTTTCCTTCTGGTTTTGCAGCAATATAAAAAAAAAGGAAAATCAAAAAATTTAAACTGAATAAGACATAAAAAAAAAATGTAGGACAAAAAGAATAAAATTTTCTTTTTATATATTCATGCAAATTTCAGATTACAACATTCAAACTAATCTCTGAACTTGGGACAAATAATGGGCCAATATTGGTCTTTTACAGCGTTTCAAATATGCGTTCACAAGGAAACAAAAAAAGGAAGGATGGACTTTAGTGCCGCCTGAGAGACTTAACGCAAGGGGGAAAAGTCCCCACCACACAGGTGACACAAGACCACCTTTGCCCCACAGTTACAATAACAAACCTAAAGTCAGCAGTCAGCCTTCTGCACCCTAAAAACTAAACAAAGGAGCGGCAAGAACTGATGTGTTTAAGTTTTTGTCCATGCTAAAAGGGTTGTAGTTTTAAAAATAATTTAAAACGAGGAGAATAATGAGTTCAAAGCGTACTTTCATACAGGGAAGGTGTGCTCCTCATTGTGTTTTATTTCATGGTGAAACCCTGAGGCAGCAGATACAGAGGACACCGAGTACAGAGCAGAGAGGAAGCTGATGATGAGGGAGAAAGGAGCGTGTCCGGGCTTGCCTGCTGGCTGGACAGCTCCTAGTTCATTTTCAATCAGCTGACACAGAGCAGGAAATGAAAACGTACCTGTACCCTCTTGTCCTTCATGTCTCCCTCTGTAACTATCTCTCACCCACCTCTCTTGAGTGAACAGAATGAAGCTGGGAGCATTTTTTCAGACTAAGTATTTTTCTGTATTTAACACTTTTCCCTCAGCACAGGCGTCTTAACCAGTGTAGACATTGGGAAAACATTTCCTTTAAGGATGTTATAATAAAGATAAATACATATTCATTTCCTTGAACTGGTTGGAGGAATTGAGGTGTGTTCCTGGCACACTGTCTTAAGGGAGTGGAGGTGATGATGACGCAGAGACGACATGTTGATAAGACGTGAACAGTCAGAATAAAATACGACATCAGTGACTTCATTTTGAGGTTTGGACGTAGAGTCACTGATGAGGCAGATATCAAAGATATCAATGCAGGAATGTTAAGATCTTTTCTCAAGCATGTAGCCAAATCCATACTCCAGACATTCAAATATAGCAGCCATAAGTCTGAATCATCAAGAGGCTACTGCCTGCTGTAATGCTGACATAGTCTGTCATTGTGACTTAAACTGTGCCAAAGACAAAAAAAAGAATAAATCATTTATGAAAGTTTTTAAATAGCAAAGATCTTAGCTGTACAATGCTGTTTGCAGATGCTACATGACCTATCTCTTTCATTCATCCTCATAATGGCTATGAGAATGCATTTATCTTTGCAAAAACTTAGCTAACATAAATGTGTTTCTCATAGTAAGGTTAAACAAGTTTTAAAAACCCCAAAAGGTATACTTTCATTTTAAATAGGCTTCATAAACAGCAGGCGCTGATCCTTTCACAACTAACTATCTTGTATGCTCACTTAAAATATTTGCTTTCATGAAGACACAAAGGACTGTTAGCAGGTGCTACTTCACCAGTTACATAACATTATATGTAACAAGCATGACGTCAATCCCTAGTTCCATCAAGATTCATCACAAGCTGCTAACACAATGCTAACATGTTCTCATCTTTAGAGGTGATATCGCGCTCCTTCTTAGCAAAAAGATTGCTACAGAATTAAGCGTTCACAAACACAACTGTGGAGTTTATTATGGTAACATGTGATTTTTAATTTTCATCTGTTTTTGTTTAAGACTCACGGAGGAAATACATGGCTAACTAGCAAAATGCTTTCATTTGCTAGCTTCATGCTAACTTTGTTTATGGGTTTGCTCTGTTCGGTCATATTTCTGTTGTTTTTGTCTTGTAGTTGTACTGTGTGATGTTCAGTAGTTCATATAAGGAAGACTGTTGTTTTGAAAACCATTCTTGATATCACACAGTTGTAAATAACCAGCTTTTCTGGCTGTTTGTAGTCCATTTCCTGTGTTACTAGACAGAGTATAGTAATTTGTTAGAAGGAGTGAGAAGTTATGGATCAATGGATTAAGTTAGGATAGCTTTATGACAGTTTGTGACTATGTTCCTGGACCCAAACACAACAACAAATTCATGTTAAAGTATGTCTAAAGTTGTAA